GGGAAGATTCTACGTCTGATTTTGAGAAAATAACGTTCACACTATTTGGTAATCATTTTTTCAGTTGCAAGAAAGCGATGATTACAACTTTATAAACTTTTCGTGAGTAAATTTCAATTGGTCTTCTTGTATTGTTCTACTTTAAAATCAATATATATATATATATATATATATATTATATGATATATATGTTATTGTGTATATATATATATATATATATATATTATATATATATATATATATCAATGAAAAAACCTTATTGGAAAGTTACACATATTGATTACGTGATTACGTAAACCGTGGTTTCTTTTAATAAAGAGGTTGCAGTTACAAGGGACGTGCCTGGGGCGTAATTTTTGTGTGTGGGGGGTGTCAAAAAATATATATTTGGAGTAAATTTTTTGAAATAATGTCAGGGCTATTAAAGAATAACTCAAATGTTATTATTTGTAACTAATCAAATAACTCACAACTGCGCTGCGGTAACTTCGTTTTGTAAAACTGTAGTGAGAGTTTAATACGTAATTGTTTTATCTCAGCATTGGGTGTCATGAATTTGGAGATTAATTACTTTGTTGTTTTAGATACGTTGAAAAAATCCAGATAGAACGAGAACCAAACAATGTCAAACAATCAATATTTATGACGGGGTACATTTTTGTCAGAATTTGGATAGTAAAACGGGGATACGTCATCCCAAAAAGAAGACAATGATTGGGGAACTAAAGTTGGCGAAGTAGGTATTGGGGAATTTGAGTACATCCGTAAAAGACCAAAATCAGCAAATCAAGGCAAAACACAATAGACCGCCAGCATAGTGATATTAATGGATCATTTAAAATATTGTTGGATATGATGAACTGGTAGAAAAATCGCGTATTCAGTTTCGTTTTCTATTATAGATAAAAAGCCTTCGTTAAGAAAATGTACAGAATATTAAAGAAACATGTTAGGATATGGGAGAACTTTATTACAGGGATTTATGTAGAGATTACTCATATGTGGTAAATGGATAATATGAAAATGTTTTTGATAAATGAATGCAAAATACAGCTTAAAATTCGGACGGACAAAATTTTTCGTACACACGAAATTGCTATCAGAGGAGGAGAATGCTGCAAACGACTTAGTCTGGTCTCCATTTTAATTAGGCCATTATTTACTGAGAGGTTAGAAAATTATTGTTTTATTTATTTATTTCCACATATCAACAATTTTACTTTTCAGGGGAGAAGATGAGAGAATGAGTACATTTTGTTGAATTTAAATGTCTTCTTACTTTAACAAGAAGTAATATTTATTTAATATTGAGCAACAAGGTAAAATGAATTACAAGCAAATGAAAAAGTCTCAATGAAGATAGATCTGGAGCCATAATTATAAATTTTGCATTATTTTTTATAAAGTTCACGCCTTCTTATTTCTCATCCGTTCCGTATTTTCGTTCGTTCAGATAACTTGGCAGTATTTTGTTCTGATGCTGTGGTGTGACACTAAGTCAACAATTATACTGAATCTTGGTATTAAAGTCTTCTCAAGAAAACGCGAGGCACACTGGCTGTCGCCCACTCGAGGAGTTCCGCAAGAGCATTTCCTTAACTGCTTGAATGCTACGTGTTCAAAGGTGGCCTCTGTGGGCGGGCAAGTTCTATGAGAAGCACTGGCCACTTCTCATTCACTTCTTGTTGAAGATAGTTGTGGATCTTGGTCCCAGAACCGGCCTACGAAGATTTATTGTGAGCACGATAAATGGGGAGCGTTTGAAGAAAAGAGAAAAGGGATTTTTCATTTTTGAACTATTTGCATATTCCTAAACCCCCGCTGAAACATCTCCCCTACAGGTTGGCTTGCTGGATCTTCGCTTTCATGTATCTCCCCGGTGAGGCAACACCCCATCCGAGACACGCTGTAAGCGTCCGACTTCTCTCCTAACGTGTGTGGTATACTGTCAGAAATGTTATTTATTCTAATGTAGATTAATATTGTACATGAAACTTATGTAGCCTTCTACATTAAAAATATATTAATATATTTGTTATTAAAATTAATACATAAATTAAAATCACTGTAGATTTAATCCGTTTTCTCATATCGTATATTCATAATCACCAGTCCATCAACATCATTTATTCCTTTTAAATAAGACCATATTGTTTTGTCTATTGCATATAAATGTACATGTGTACATTAAATTTAATGTGAACTCATGATAATTACTTTAATCAAATTTACATTAAAGTAATGCGGAAATTTCTGACAGTGTAGTGAAATGCATGGACGTGTATGTGTTTGTGTAAGAGAATGACAAAAAAAACGAGGTGAGAGAGTGAGGAGGGACTGGGTACAAGAATGAAGAAAAGATTCGGGGCGGACCATAGCTCATTTGTTTAGGATACTGCCACGGCATTCGTGATACTGATCGCATAAACCACAGAAAACTACCGATCAGAGCAGACAGTCACCAGAATTTTCCTCCAGACAATGGCTGCATTTACTCGAGTAGTTTAGCTAGTGTCGGAAAATCCGCCACCGTCGAGATTCGATTCCTAGGAAATTCAGGACAGAGTCACTGCAGTAGCAACAGTTGTCGTGAGTGAATGGAACCTGTGCAGAGTAGAGTTCTATTATGTCCTTGAGATATCATCGACTGTCGAACCGGCTCCTGAATAGCGGAGGATAGTGGGCTGTTGGAAAGACAGCTTGTGAGTGGGCCGGTGGTTTCCGAATTAAGAATTTGAAACTCATTCGTTCGACTTTCTCTGACCTCTCTCACCGACCTAACTTCACAAATGTTTAATCACAGCTGAGACAGAAGAAACCATTGGAGGCTTGCTCGTATTACCTATCAATGACACAAAAGAATCTGCCGAACTGGTTCCGTTGCTTATCGTAAATCCTACACTTCTAAGAATGAATGTAGATTCCTTTGGACGAGACCAGTATCTACATGTGAATACTATACGATCAGACGTCTGATCTACTTCGAGAAGGGTTCATGAAAAATGTTGCGGAAATTTCAGGAAATAGCAGATCGACAGAAGAAACCATTCCAAACCCAACGGGGGTATTCCATTTAACATTTACGCCTAAATTTTGAAGACTTTTTTTCATATTTCATGCAGCTTTTTGACGAAATGTTGAAACGTTTTCCTAAAGGCCTTGATGTCTTGTATGGATGGTGTTTATTTAGATAATAATGTAAAATTATGTATTATTTACTATTTTCACACAACATTCAGTTATAAACTGACTGAAAAAACAGATATAACCATGTGTACTCCGAAAGGAGCCGGTAGTTTTCCACGGTTTCCCGAAACAATGCTAGATAAACGCCGGAGCTATACCCTGACAAACAGACCACGCAGCGCGCCGCCTGCTGTCTTTCCGTATCCATGTCCTATCCTCATCCCCCACTTACCCTTACATGCATTACACTATCATAAATGTCGGGAGCTCAGGCCTTGTCCCTACAGGAGTGGTGCCACCGCATATGGGAGATATCTTGTGGAGGGGAAAACAGCAACCTGATGTATAGGTGGGCGCTAGATCTCAACATACGTTAGGGGATGGTCACTGCTCCCTCCCGTGAGAAAAAAGTTTTACATTTACAGGATATCATAAGCCATAGTAGTTGACTCGTTCAGACACGAAATAATCAACCATTATATTTACGGTGTTTATTCCGATTGTAATGTAAAATTTATGGAAGTTGCTGCTTTCACCCGACATTTAATTATAAACTAACTGGAAAAGAGCATGCGTAATAATCTTTCCTGCGAAAGGAACTTTAGCCTCCCAATCCCTCCCCTCAGCAATAGGCGTGTATCCACTAGGTTTCTAACGAAACCCGTCGTCATCTCCCGGGAGGTGGATCGGAGAAAGAGCGGGTCGGGGGGGGGGTCGCTGTGAAACCGGGGCAGCAGGGACGGCGCGTGTCGGAAGAAGGCGCGTGCACGCGTGCGTGCGGGCGAGGGCGACGTCGGCGCTGCGCGGCGCCGCTGCCCACGGCCGGCGGCGCGGGGCTCGCCGCCTTATAAGGAGCGTGCGACGCGGAGCGGACCGGAGCGGCCTCGACGGCGCGGCGCGGCGCGGCGCCCACACTCACCACCTGCAGCCGCTGCTCCCGGGCCGGCGCGGCCGCGGCGGGCCGGCGGCGTACAAGCCCGTCCCCGCCCCCTTTGCACGGGTTGATACACTGACTGACACTCCTCCCCCTGAGGCGAACGTTTCGGTGCGAGCCATCTTCTACCTCTGCAACCGGGTACAGCGGACTTTCCATTCTAGCTGCATTGCTGGGTCAAATTCGGCCGCTGTCTAGAGAATTGTAAGGGCCGGCCTCTCTCATGGGTAGTTTCCGTGTGGAAACTACTGGCGAATGCCGGAGCAGCATACGGGCCGTGCGCGATCTTTCCTTTCTCACATTGTCGTCTGTTCTCTCCCCTTATATATACATTTGCAGTTCCATGCACTACACTTTCACACGTGGGCCCGCGGATGGAATTTCCTGAAAAGGAGATTCCCACAAGATGACTTGTGGTCGGCGCCAGATCTCACATTCTAATCTACGTTAAAATCTTAAGTGTAAGGTTAAGTTTTTGTGAATAATTTTCGGGAACGTTTCCTTTTCGTCCGAACAACTGATGTCGCTATAGTTCCTCTGGCCGGGAGGACCTAGAATTTGAGACACTTTGAGGGGGCAGAATGTGCGACACTAGCTATACAGATGAGTCAATTTCAGCGGATGTCTGGAAGGAAATGTTAGTGGCCGTGGCTCTTCATCGTAGTTTTCCGTGATTTGTCCGTAATTACACGATCACGCGCCGGCCTCTCGACCCATACATGTCGGGAGGCAGGTCGGGCGCTTAGACTTTGTCTCACCCTGGATATACCTTGGGGGTGGGGATCTTCCGCAAGCCGAAGCATTATCTCCATCCAGCGGGGGTGCAACACTCACGGGACACACGAGCCCAGCTGTTGCCAGATAAATTAAGTCAGCGCACTCACCACCTGCAGCCGCGGCTCCTGGGCCGTGGGCGGCAGGCGCGCCAGCATGTCGCGCGGCGCGTGCGGCAGCTCGAGCACGCCCCTCGGCGCGCAGTCCACGAAGACGCGCGCGCGCGCCCCGGGCTGGCGCTGGTCCACGTGCAGCAGCAGTGAGCGCAGCAGCGCACCGTCCGACAGCGCGTCCACCGTCACGTGGCGCTCGCTCGTGCGCCCGTCCGCCGACGTCGCGTCCAGCATCACTGCAACCCACACGCCGCCCTCACTCGTCAACGGATACTGTACATGTAGTACGTTACGTATTAAGTATTTAAGATATAAATTTACGTTTTATACATTTTTTTAAATGACATTTTTATGACATTTAATGACGTCCGTCGGGCGCTTAGACCTTGGCATCACTGCAACCCACACGCCGCCCTCACTCGTCAACAGATACTGTACATGTAGTACGTTATTAATTATTTAAGATATAAATATACGTTTTATACATACTTTTTAATGACATTTTTATGACATTTAATGTCGTCGCGTCGGGCGCTTAGACCTTGGCATCACTGCAAATGACACACCACCCTCACTCATTACGGGATACTGTACATGTTTTATTATTGAATATTAACAAGCGATGGCCTGTGTGGATTTTAGAAAAAGATTAAGAATAACAAAAGTTATTAATCACAGAGATGAAACAAACAAAATGTAACTAATGCATCATATGGAATAAACTAAATTAATACACAGTTGGCGAGGTTTTAATAATGAGGAAAGTTAAGGATGAAACAAATGCTTTGGAAGTTTTTGTTTGATTCTCTTTTGCTAAGAGTTATGTTTTCCTAACTGGAAATTGAATGCAGATAGTGTATTGTTTATATGAGAATAAAACTTAGCAGAGCGTTGTAGAAAATATTTGTTTATTGGTAGAATGCCAAATTCGCTGTACATTTGTTACTGGGAATAAACCGCTTTTAAACAAGTTCTGAGGCAAGAATTTTAAAATATTTTAATTTTGTCGTCGATTTTGAAGCAGAACATCAGATTGGGAAGGTATAAGTGAGAATGTATAATAATAATAATAATAATAATAATAATAATAATAATAATAGTAATAATAATAATAATAATAAGAAGAAGAAGAAGAAGAAGAAGAAGAAGAAAAAGCACAATTTTGTGCGAAAAGCGCTTGACCATTGTCGCGTCCGTGCGAGCAGTCATTGTTGATACTCTCTAGAAGCATGTTTTTACAACTTTGAGTACGACATCATTGTAATACTGCTAAATCATACTATTAAAGCGCTCCAAAGCAATTCGGAACTTGTCTTATGAAAATGATTCAAATTAAATAATTCACGTAATATTAAACGAATTATATTATTTTTAGGAAGTATATATACGTTTATTTATACACTTTTGCCCAAATGTTGCATTTATGCAATTTATTTAACCCACTTTCGCTCAATATAATTCTGTGCGCATAGCACTCGCCCAATGTTCCCATGCCTACGCACGCGTAATCATTGTAGGAGCTCTAATAGCATGTTTTTGTAGTTTTTGGAGGAAAATTATTTGTTATGTAAGTAGTTAAATGATACTATTAGAACGCTCCAAAGTGACAACTCTTGTTATAAGAACATTTTGTTTTCAATAAGCAGAAGCAAAACTATTAGACCGTAACTGCATATGCTCGGTCGTCAGTCAGAGTAAACCAACCCCTGTTTGTATTCATCGGCCTCTCGCGTCGAACAAACCACCACCTCTTACAGTAGACCGTAGACACAACTCATAAACACCCAGAGTTTGATTTACAGATCTGCAGATACATTCTTTCACGCCTAAAACTTCTCCTTGTTTAATTTAATTTATATTTTCAACACAGCTACTTTGAACATTTCGGAAACATCGAAGCAAATTTTGTAATTCTTGCATGCTTGATATCGATTTCGCCGAGATCGCTAATTGTACGCTTTTGTGTACGATGCACGCTCAATTCGACACTTTCCCTCTGAGAGTGTATTTATGACTTGCGTAGGTTCGAATCTTTCTCTCAAATTAGCTGCTATTTGCCTGTAGTTAAACCCAGAGATGTTCAGAGAGTAATTAGGGTAATTTGTCCCAGAAACCCACTTAAAATAATAGTTATAATTATAATAATAATAACGATACTAATAATGATAATAATAATAATAATAATAATAATAATAATAATAATAATAATAATAATTATTATTATTATTATTATTATTATTATTATTATTATTATTATTATTATTATTATTATTATTATAAATCAAGGGAACTTTTGTTGACGTTAAGGGGCCCCATGGGTCTACTGCCCCAGGCCCCTTGTTTTCTCCGGGTGCCCCTGGTTAAACCACGTCCGCGATTGCTAATCTTTGTGTTGCGCACTGCTGGCCGCAAACGTTCTTGACATATAGCGGCAGTTGGCGCCAAGAAAATAGTGCCACGCGTCGTGCGTCCGTGCTGTGTGTGTGTATCGTGTGGCTTGGTGGTATTCTGCGTCAATAGTGGTCTCAGTATATCGGTCTTGTGGTAATGCTTTGCGTCCGTTGCCGAGAGAGGGAGGGAGGGAAGGAGAGAGAGGGAGATAGAGAAAGCGAGAGGGAGAGAATGAAATATAGAGATAAAGAGAGGGAGAGAGAATGAGATGTAGAGATAATGAGATGGAGAGAGAGGGGGAGGGAGAAAGGTAGGGAGAGAAAGAGAGGGAGAGAGAAAGAGAGGGAGAGAGAAAGAGAGGGAGAGAGAAAGAGAGGGAGAGAGAAAGAGAGTGAGAGGGAGCAGAGAGAAAGAAAGAGAGTGAGAGAGAAAGGGAGGGAGAGAAAAAGAGAGGGAGAGAGAAAGAGAAAGAGAGGGAGAGAGAAAGAAAGGGAGAGAAAGAAAGGGAGAGAGAAAGAGAGGGAGAGACAAAGAGAGGGAGAGAGACAAAGAGAGGGAGAGAGAGAATGAGAGAGAGAGAATGAGAGAGAGAGAATGTGAGAGAGAGAGAGAGAGAGAGAGAGAGAGAGAGAGAGAGAGAGAGCTAGCGAGCGGTTTGAGGGAGATGGTAGGGGGGAGTAGAACACCAAAAGCGAGATCAGGTTGGAACTATTTTCATTTGTTTTTTCTGCTCACTACGAGTCCTATGTTCTAAGGATACGGTCCACGTGGATCCGTGATTGGCGGAATTCCGTCCGACGCGGTCATTCACGACTGTGTATTTTAGAAACTACACTTTAGAGTAGGCTCGATCACACGTTCTTCAAATGGTAGTTTTCAACATAACCATAGTTCCAAGTGGGCAGAGCAATATCAAATAAACTTTGCAAAAAATAAAATAGCAATTATTTGCCTAATAGAGCCATTCTTCAAAGTAGATGTAAAAACTTTTCTTCGTTGGTTTAAGAACAATAATCCCCGTGGAAGACTTTAGAATATACTGAGTGCATATTAACAGACACAGTGCAACGTTCGCACAGGAGCATCCCGTTGAACATCGATCTACTTTGTCCGTACTTTCATGACTCTGCCTCGAATACGCGACCCTCCTAGCCGAGGCAGCTAGGGATTTTAGCCGTGGGACCTCGCCTATCCAGGACGGCATTTGCTAGGCTTGTCATCACGACATTGATTGACCTTTGACACCTAATGAAAAGGATGTTTTTGTGGAACCAGACAAACGAACAGAAAGTTCTTGTTAAGGGATGCTGCCTAATACATATTTATTTAAGTAATGTACACATTCACTTAAATATCGTTAAATGGCTGTACGAGTGAACTGTGATAGAACTCGAAATATTCGAATTTTCATTAGTTATTTTACGTTTTGGGATATTTATTTATTACGTATGTAAACATAATGTGAAGCCTTTTTGTAATGTATACTCTTTAATGCATTAATTATAAATTATCTGAATTCTGAATTTAAATTGACGGCGACCACTGTAAACACGTTACCGCCGTTACTGAAGCCCCTGAATGATTTTATTAACACGCCAAACTGGCAATTTAGTGTAATGCTTGCTTAAAATTGATGTACCGATGTATTATAATGTAGTGTTGTAGATACTTCAATGATGCAATGAAGCGTAAATAAAAAATGTTTGTATTCACTGTCAACTCAATCTCAATACAATCGATTTTTTCATAAATTTGCTCATTCAAATTGTATTTCATGCATTTTGAGATTGTACGGAATGCAGCGCGTGTATTTTTCATGGTCGAATTCTACCAAATGTTTTCACTGGATGTTATATGAAGAGACATTATTTCAAATCATTCTGCGCTACTTTAATTAGAGAATTATATTTTTATATAAAGTTTTTAGGAATAATTATTAACATAAGAACAGAAGAAAATGTAGCGAAAAATCTCTTGTACAAGCGGTGTTTTGACATCAGGGTCTGTTTTCATGAATAATTCATTTTTCGTTTCATTTGTACTGGTGTGTTGATACTACTGGAACAAATGTCGTCGTCAGGAGCTTTTTCACCGTTTAGGTAAGACATGCGCAGCGTTTCCTTAGCGGTACTCACGGACATCTTAGCAAGCTCTGCAAATGGCAACGAAGAATGTCTTTTGATGGGGCATCACAAAGCTCTGCATTGTTATGAAATAACGAATGGTATCAGTTTCCTAGAGCAGATATTTGTGTAGGAGAAAATGGGGAGGAGGAGTTGAAAATATTATCGCAGTATGCGTATATACACACTAGCGTAATGCAGCCCGTTTAGTTAGGGACTTGCGCGCACACGGTTAGCGACCCTGATGAAGACTAAGTAAAACTACGGATAGCTGCTACTGAATTATACGGATTGGTTTGTGAAATTACGTTTTTTCAACAGCTGGTTAAAATCTTAAACGAATTCGTATTATTTCTTGATCTCGTGGTTTTATATTCCTAGGATTTTAAGGGCAAGTCATTACATAACACGTAAAATTACATCGAGCCAACGTTTTAACCTTCCATTTTTATGTATCGGAACATTTGATATGCACCAACTGAATTCTTATACTTTTTCAGCCATTTATTAGTAACAATGCGTGTTTTGAAGAGTGCGAATTATTCTGTAATTAAATGCAGCAAGAATGAAGAGAAAACCCTGAGTTATTTTGCTTTTTACTTGTCCAATGGATCTAGAAAGGAAAGACGGAACTTCCTAACAGAAAGGTTATTACCTCCTAGAGACTTATTTACTATTTACATTACAATGATTACTTACATTTCGAGATACTTTCTTGAACAGTATATAAATACTTGTTCTTTCTCATGATTCCCCTATTCACTATCAATAGACAACATTCATTATATTTAAATAATTTCTTTCCTTAAAAAGTGTTCAAAACGTCTACTTCACATATTGTTTTAGTTATAAAGACATAAGGAAATTAAAATATGTATAAACATTTGTTTGGTTATATTTAGCAGAACGATGCTGTATTACGAATTGTAAGGCGAAGTATTCTTTGATCGCCGCGCGGATCGCTCGAGTCGATGAGCAACATTACGATATAGCGCATTTAACACTGAGTTGCTCTACTGTAATTTATCTTCTGTCGTAAGAATGGGGGCAGTTTTACGCAGAATCTTAGAGACCAATGTTGTTCATTAGGTAAGCAAACCACTTTTGTAGCAGAAATAGCACTTGCAAACTATTAACAAAGGCATTGAATTTATGTCGCTGCACTTCCAAGAAACTGAGAGATGTTAAGATTGCAACGTGTAAACCACACGCAGCATGGGTTTGCAACAAGTTGCAAAAGAACTTGTATAAAAAAGTTCCGTATCAATATCATTATGAAACTCAGTTCTAATGTACCGAACTGTTCCTTGCTAATAAGGGAAAGAAGGCTGCAACGGTCAATTGATGCAGAGCTCGCGTATGTAGCCTTCACGTTCGCTCGCACTACGCATTAAGTGAGTGCTTGACAGCGACTTGCTTCATCTCCAACAGTAGAACAATGCACTTCCTTGAAGTATGCACGCGCTTCCACTAAAGCAAATTGAAAACCATAAGAGGCGAGTAATGCGGAGGTCAAATCACAGAAAATCTGCTGAGATTTTTTTCCATAAAAATATCCTTGGGAGCGCATTGACTACAATGACCATTTCTTCTACGAACCCATCTATATTGTTAATCAAAGATGCATAGAAAATGAATGTATATTACCTCATTTACGCCCAACATAATTTTGTACTTATTGCGCTCGTCTATTGTCGCAGCAATTGTTGGAGCTCTTTGTAGCATGTATGTGCAACTTTTAGTGCTAAACCATTGTTGTACATGTACTTAAGCACGGTTTAGATGATTTGAACCGACGCAGGTCTGAATACATCGTGGCCAGGAGCGTACAACGCTTTAGCGATCTCCCCTAATACACATCTAGCAATCATGAATGTCAAAATTTGCTTTTCATGTAGGATGTTCCGGCTATTGAATGGATAAGAATTCGCAATAGAATATTTGAGATAAGAAAAAAAACTTCAAATTGACTGGTCCATTTTTAGAACAATGGGCTCTAATGGGTTAAATACGTCAAACAAGCATATATCTTTCACTACGTTCTTATTCACCTTTATTTTAAAGTAGGACTGTTATGAATAAAGAGTAGCAGTAAACTGCGACATTAAAGTATTACATTGGTACATACCCAACACCCTACGTACAATTTTAAATAATTATTTCAAAATGTACTAATAAAATAGTATTAACTTTCATGATTTCTTTTAGGAATGAGAAAATTAGAAGATAAGTGTAAAATAGTTTGGAGAATGATATATCTAACAAAAAGTAAAATTAATGTAAAATAATTTTATTATTTTAATAATATAACTTATAGTTCTCCGAATGAATGAAAAATAGTATTTCTATTTTGGCAATTAATAAAAACGTTAGAACTATTTTATTCTTAGTTAAATTACATTTTTAATACCACCACGTTTTAATATCATGTGGAATTTAAGAAGGAAAACGCAAGATACACTAGACCGAATCTGTTTAAGATTCATATCCTATAAAATTACTTTTTCTTCTTCTAAACATAACCGCGGAGGAAAAGATGAAAAACACGGTCAAGTACGTCAGAGAGATACGGAGAGTTACGAAAGAAGAGACCCGAAACTGTGAATAATCCTCTTATGATTCATAATGGGACAAGAAGAGCTATATGTGGCAAAGATGTAAGGGTTGAGATGAGTAAGAAAGGAAACAAGTTAATTCGAATTTTAGGAATGAAGGAGGTGACTGTACCGACTGAAGTTACTAGGAAATACATAGAGCGAAAGTTGCGCCTAAACGGGCATAAAACATGTGACGAAAGCTATGTGCAGAACAGATACCGGCCTTCACACAGAAAAGGAAGAAGATTGGATTGAGTAAATTCTGCGAAAGAAAAGAGAATGTAAAGAGTTGGTACAAATGAAAATATATGCTGGGACACAAAAATATTTACTGTGATATTGAACTGTTTTTTAAATACACGAATTTCATTTCCCCTTGATTTTGTAGATCTATCTTTTAGTAAGATACTAGCTGATACCCCTGATGGGTATTTATTTACCACTCCACGTCACCCGGAAACCCTTAGCAACAACACTACACATGCGTTAAATCTATTACTGTCGTTCCAGAGGTCAAAATCGGCGCAGGTGTCGACGAAATACCTACAATTTTGCACACAAATACGTGCAAAATTTGGCACTTTATTCTATATTACGGGAGTTCGAACAATTGAATAAGGCATTATACCGGTTACCATCTCTCGACACATATTTTCTCTGGTCAATGAGACTTACATGAAGTCAATTGGCGAGGGAAAAAAGTAGAGGGGACAATGGAATCGGCCTAATTCTTCCTTTCACTTCAATCAGTTTTCACGCTATGCATCCACGCGTTTTTGACCAGTCGAGCCCTCAGGGCTACATTGATGTATTAAGAAGCCCTAAGTATGACTAAAATATGAGGCCTCTATAATAATATTGAAGTATTAAACAATAATAAAAATGAATAGAGAAATAAATTAGGTGTTTTGAAATTTGAAAATATAATATAAAAATATACTTAGGACCACTATTGACAACACAAATGTGAACCACATCGAGGCGGACTCAGATAATACACATACACAGCAACGGGAACGGATGTAAAATTTTGTTTAAAAATATTAATTTTCCTCTAGAGTGGGAATCCTAAGCATGTGCTTAGTCTGCTTATTCATGAACCTACCCTGAGGGCCCTGGCGTTAAAATTAGCGAGACCTGAATTAGCTCAGGACAACAATTCTAGACCCTGCGGCGCCTCTGACCGGGAAACCTACAGTTCGAGACCCGATGGTGGAGGATTTTCGATACTAGCTAGCTGTATAGCTAGATCGACTTCAGTGGCTGTGAAAAGTAGATTTCTAGCGAACGGCTGTTCTAATTGTAGTGTTCCGTGTTTCTCTGAACAAAATAGGTGAATGCCGGAGCAGTACCCTAACAAATGGGCCATGGACCGTGCGCGATCTTTCCTTCCTCTTGCATGTTCAATCCCTCCTCTTACACATACTTACACTTACATGTTCCACACTACCACAATTGGGGAGATCTGCTGGGAGCTTAGAAATTTACCCGGTTGGGGCGCTGGCCCGCTGGCTGAGATACTTATGAGGGCAAACCACAATCTGATGTGTAGTTCCGCGCCGGATTCTACATTCTAGTGAGGGAGTCAAAGCGACTTCTAATTATAGCATGCACTGCACAACGCCCTTGCGGTTTAGCTCATTGGTCAGCGAGCTCGCTGTCCATGACGAGATTCCGGGTTCGATCCCTGGTCGGGCAAGATTATAGTGTGAGTTTTCCTCTCAATGTCCCAGTGTATGTTGCTATGCGACGATGAGAAACTTCACTTCTCCGGTTGAGAAGACAAGAATACGGCGTAGGATGTCTTTGTGGTAACCACATGTACGAGCCCCGTAAACACATGGCACGTACTCTCGACCGCAAGGCCAAGACACTGCTGATTGGCCCTGGCCCGTACGCGGGCTGTCGCGCCAAGTACAGACAGACACGGCACTAACAACCATAGCAGTTGATGTCCCCGCAAAAACAAAATAATCAGTCATTTATGTTAGTGGGAATTTCACATTTTCCTTCAATATCTCTCCGACATTAGATAGGTAAGAGCATTTATTCCGTTTAGTTGTCTCTCCCATCGTATTTCTTTCTAAACCCGTTCATCGCTCTCTAACAAATTTTCCTTACAATAGCCTTGATTGAAGGTATAACCTGAGAAAATCACTGTCAGGGAGGGGACAAGTCGCCCACTTCACACTTAGTTGATACAAAGCTACTCGGTCAATCAACTGAAGAGCCTCACGGCTGAACGTTGCAGTATCTGTCAATGTAAAATAATAATAATAATAATAATAATAATAATAATAATAATAATAATTATTATTATTATTATTA